GCAAGGAATTTTATAAATTACATTTTTTGTATTTTCAATTATCTAATGCTGTCCGGTTAAACGCGTGTGGCTACGCCACTGAACCCCATACTTTCATTACCCTAAAAGATTTCTTTAGCCGGCTCGCCTGTCAATGGATACTTTTTCCTTAAACTAAATTAATTTGGGATTTAGCGAGATTCGCTCGCAAAGAAATTGAAACGAAACTGTGCACAATAAAAGGACGGGTCTTATTTCAAGCGCTCGGTATAAATACATAAAAATGATTAAGGACGAGGCGAAACTAGCATGCTACTTTAGCGGTTGTTTTCAGCCCAACTGGAGGAGTCGCAGCTCTTCAGCGAGTTCTCGCTGGTTTCTTCGCCAAAGAGCAAACGCGCCGCCTACTCTAACGGCCTTTCTTCGGATGGCTTTTCCTCCGAAGGCCGCTCAAACAGTCCGCTTCCCTTCAGGCCGCGCAGCGCTGAAGAAACTGCTGCTGCCCACGACCTGCTCTCGCTGTCTCAGAGCCTTCCGCCTCTTCCAGCGCCAAGTGTTGTTATGATCCACCACACCGTAAGAGCGAGTAACACTTTCCCGCCACCTGAATCTCCTCCAATAAGGCCACTTTTGCAGGTTCCCTCTGAAGAGGACTCCTCATCGCCCAGTCACTGCTACAGTCCCCTGTACATTGACCAGAAAAACCCAAACGACGGCAGGAATGCTCCAGTAAAATGCGAAGACTTCGAGGAAGCAGGCAGGCCCGCAACTTACGAGCCGCGTTCTGCAGGAATTTTCCAAGATAGGGAGCCAGTTATTGTGCAAAACACGTCCTCGCTCATCGCGAATTCTTCCCATCAGACCTCGCAGAAATTCTCTTTGGTGCAAAGCCAGCAGGAAGGCAACGTGGTTTATCTGGTGCATGTTTCAGGGGCCAAAACTCAGGAGGATGAGGGCCCGGAAAATCCTTCGAGCTCAGAAAGTCAACGCCCAGTAAATTCAGTGTCCATTACGGGAGATAAATCATCTCAACCCATGATTTTCTTGTAGGATTGTTCATCCAGAATCATGGAAGAAACAGCCGACCTCATAGTGCTGCCTCTTTCGCCTGAAGCTGACATTCCGGGCGCCAGAGAGTTCGTCGCTGAACCGCAAGAAGCCACTGGAAACTTGGGGGTTTTCACCTTCGAAGCTCACAGCAAGCATGCCCTGTGGAGGCCTTTGGAGGACAGCTGCAAGCAACCCAAAGAGGAGATTTGCTCGCTGTTGCAAAGCAACGAAGAGCTGTCTCTGGCTGGTCAAAACTCCACCATTTTCCTCATGGACCTGCCGGATCGCCGGCGGAAGAAGCGCGGCCGCAAAGAGGCCGACAAGATCTTAACCCTGGACTCGATGGGCGAGCTGCAGAGGAGAAAGGAAGCGAATCCGAGCAGGGACAGCTCGCCACCCAAAACGGTAACATCTCCATCTCTTCTGATGATTAATGGCCTTTGGCCACCCCGTGCTTGTTTCAGAAGTTCTTCAAAGTGATCGAGGACAGCGTCGAAGAAGACGAGGAGCCAATCGAGTGCGACCAGAAAACCAAATTCTGTTGCAGCGAGTGCGGCAAATGCTACGCCACATCTAGCAACCTCTCTAGGCACAAGCAGACGCACAGGTAACATGCTGGCGTTGATCCAGCTGGAGTAAAAACATTGGTTTTCTTTGCCAGAAGTCTGGATTCGCACTCGGCGAAAAAGTGCAACGCGTGCGGAAAAGCGTACGTGTCGATGCCGGCTTTGGCAATGCACCTGCTCACGCATAAGCTGGCGCACAGCTGCGAAATCTGCGGAAAACAGTTTTCCAGACCGTGGCTGTTGCAGGGCCATCTTCGTTCGCATACCGGCGAGAAACCGTATGGCTGTGCGCATTGTGGAAAAGCCTTTGCTGACAGGTACTATCATGCAAACAGTTCGAAAATACCAATTTTCAGTTGCACTCAGTTTCCCGTGTTCCACTCGAAGTCACTTTAGACTTACACTCATCCGGCATTCAGGGTGTCCCTGAAATGACTGTATGTATATCCAATGTTGCTGCTTCATTCTGCCGCTGCTGGGCGCCAAAGTTCTATAATTAATATGGTTTTTTCACATAATTTCTAAACGATGTTCACTAATTTTGGAATCAACAGTTTCTAGATCCGAAAACAACTCTAGTTTGCTATATAACGTTAGCCCAAAAATGCTTCGTTACGGGTTTACAGGGTGTGGAAATTTAATTAAAGGGATACGAAATAGTGAATTTCTTCAAAATTCATTGAGACATTGTAACGAAATTTTCCAGAAATTTATGGCTACGACAAGCGGTTGGGATTCTACAGTAGGATTTGTGGTAGGTGGACCAAATTGGCCTCATTTAAATGGGAACCATCGTTTGTATTGGCGTAGGTTCAAACCTAGTTAATTACTTAGTTAATCTATGGTTCAAACTGAGCTCGACTCATAAAAAGGGACTATAAGTGTGCATGGTAAGCACAGTTTAAGTATCATGTTATCATTTGACACTTTTGTATAATTTTGAAAATTTCCCCTCCATAAGGGCCAGTACAAACTTTTTCGTCTTCCCCCTGTAGCTGAAAGAGTAATTTTTTTGAACCAACCAAAGTCGATCTGTTATGAATTTTTTTCAAGTCTAACCATCGGTTCAGGAATAATTGGAAAAAAAAACTTTGACAAAAAAAAACAATTTTTGCGATTTTTCCTAAATTCTACATTTTAGTTTTAAAGTGATAACTTTTAATGGGAGGGTGAACCGATTTTTCTCGGTCACTCGGCTTGGGACACACATATGCACTTTGAATTCGACATTTTTCTCTTAGTGCGGGTGCATCTGTAGATCTGGTAAACTTTTCAAATACACATTGCGTTATTAAACTGACAGTGATTTTGATTTATCAATTATTGAGTGTGATATTATTGTGTTCGGTGCAGTTTATTTTATAACACTGATAACAACGAATCAACAAATTATCAAGGGAGAAGCTGCAGATACTGCAAATACTAGGTAAAGGGTGCTCATGTACTAAATGCCTGTTCGAGTTTCGCCTTCTTTTCAATTTCCAATTAAAGTACACACACAATTATACACACTAAAGCAGTTTAAGTGCAAGAAAATGCGGATCGTCCATAAATTTGCAGAAACATGTATTACAAACTTTTCAAAATCATGTTCAAACGACCGGGCATTTATCATTGCAAATGAGATTGCACA